TTATCATTTATACCTTGCCCATCTGGCTGGCTTTCCCCAGCCACTGTGGGCAGCTTCCAGCAAAATATAAAAAATAATAAAATGTTAAACATTAAAAAACTTCCTGATAGATGCCTTCAGATGTCTTCTAAAAGTTGTGTAATTCTTTATCTCCTTGACATCTGATGGGAGGGCATTCCACGGGGTGGGCGCCATTAATGAGAAGGCCCCCTGTCTGGTTCCCTGTAACTTTATTTCTCGCAGTATGAGAACTGCCAGAAGGCCCTCGGAACTGAATCTCAGTGTCTGGGCTGAACGATGGGGGTGGAGACACTCTTTCAGGTATACAGGGCCAAGGCCATTTTTAGGGCTTTAAAGGTCAGCACCAACACTTTGAGTTATGCTCGAAAATGTACTGGGAGCTTGAAAGTGGCCTGAATTCCTTTTCAGCCTATGAACACTCTGCTACCATCTTACTTGTCACACCTGAGGCTAGAAAGAGGACTCTGCTTAACCACAAGGTTCCTCTGCAACTCAACCGAATAAGGTAGTAAATGCCCATTAACCAAGTCAAAGCCTACCACCATGTTACTCATCCAACATGAAAAGGGCCTTCAAGCAGCAGGATTTAATTGCATTCTCCGCAGAGCCTACTTCTTTGTGTTCAACATACAGAAATGAGGCAATTAAGGCTTGTTTTTGAAATGCTAATTAATTATTTTGCAAAGGCTTAATTCCTATGAAGTGGCAATTAGTACCATACATTAGAAAACAGCAACAACAAAATGAAAGTCTCTGGGAAAACCAACAAAACAAAAGCAGCATTTACCTGTTAGATTTAAGACTGCCTCAGACCTTTGGTCTTCCAGCTGTTTCTGAACTCCAACTCCCATCATTCCTAGCAAGCATAACCATTGGCCAGGAATGATGCGAGCTGTAGTTCAGCAACATCTGGAGAGCCAAAGGTTCCCTACAACTGCTCTATAAAAAAAAGATCTAAAGATGCAGAAAGCTTGGTATGATCAGTGGAGACTTTTCTCTAGATATGTGCTAAGGATACGATTACCGTGGTACCTCGGGTTATGAACTTAATTTGTTCCGGAGGTCCGTTCTTAACCTGAAACTGTTCTTAACCTGAGGTGCACTTTCCCTAATGGGGCCTCCCACTGCCGCCACACCACCAACACGCAATTTCCGTTCTCATCCTGGGGCAAAGTTCGTAACCAGAGGTACTACTACCAGGTTAGCGGGGTTTGTAACCCAAAGTGTTTGTAACCCAAGGTGTTTGTAACCCAAGGTACCACTGTACCAGGAAACCTCAGAGCAACTCATTGCTCTCCAAATATTTTGGACTATAACTCCCATCAGCACCAGCCATCACAGACCACAGCTGATGGGACTTGTGGTCCAAAGCATCTGCAAGGCACAAGGCCTTGGAGAATAACTGAAATGCCTTCTGTGCTATTCCCCTCTTCTTGGCGTCTCATTGGCATTGCATGTTTGGGGCCATTTAGTTTGTTATTCTCAGTGAGCTGCTTCCATACTAAAATGAATGATTCTCAAGCAGCAGGATCCAGATGTGTTCTATACTACAAGGATAAGAAACCTGTGACCCTCCAGATGTTGGTCATCCTAACCATTAACCATGCTGACTGGTGTTGATGGGGAGTCCAACAACATTGGTGGGGGGTGGCACAGGTTCCTCCCCTGCTCTACAAAGTCCATTTGTTCTGTGTGATGTCCTCTTTTACGATGTTGTTTGTTTTTATCATTTTAATCTTTGCTGTGATTTCTATTTCTAAACTGTCTTGAGTTTATTATTAGCTTAAAGGCAAGATATCAATGCACAAACAAACAAACAATGGGCCAGCCATTAAGAAACCTATTTCTGTATCACCATTGAAAGTAACACTGAGAGATACTATCTCTATATTCTCTGATGCTGCAGATCTGGGGCAAAGAAATAACCTTATGTGCTCATACATAACTTGACATTCTCTGCTTCTAATGTATCATATTATTTATTTCTCAGATGACTATATTACTTCCCAGCAGTGTGGGATTTATGTATAGGCTAAGTAGGCTGAAGCCTAGGGCCTCTAAATCTAAGGGGCCTCCCCAGCCTGCCTGCTCCCCAGCAGGCAACCTCCCTTCTCCCAAAATTGCAAACCCAAGACTTCATGCAAGGGCAGGGCAACTCAGGCCCAGCAACTATGAGACTCAGGGCAAGTCAGTGGGGCCCAATTTGAAGCAGTGGGGAGCAACTTTAGGTTGTTGTTGTTTTTTGTAGGGCCCCAGTTCACAGCCAAAATCTGCAAAATCTTATAGATATAAATAAAATCCATCTAGATTGCCCTGGTGTGGGGGGCTACTTAGGAACAGCCCGCAAGGCCCAATTTGGCCAAATTGCTCCAGTTGTGTTAAGGCAGCCCTGATGACACTGTGCAGGGGTTGGACTGACATGCCCTGCACCTCCTAGGTCCCTGGTGTCACTATTCAGAGTACAAACTCAAGGACTTGTTATGGAAATAAAGTGGGGCACTTATTGGAACTCAGTTTCATGACCTCTCCCCCCCAAACCCCGGAACGATGAGCCCAGCCACCTTTTATTCACAGTCGCATAAGCACTACACTACAGCATTGCCATAAACCTGTATGTTCAACTGCTGAAATACACACCCAATATGTAGCAATGGAGATTTATGTTACTGCTTTATGAATGAACACTGTATTTTATTAATGGACTCTGTATTTTTGAAATTACCTAAGAGCCACCAATAGGGAGCTCTAGAATCTGACAGCTAACCAAACGGGTACTACCAAACAGTGACCCCTATTGCTGAAAGCAGGTAACCAGCAGGAAACGCTTCAGCTCAGCCTTTGCACTGTTGACTGAACACCCCTGCTGTGCAGATAATGGAGAAAGCTCATAAATTGTATCCCTTCTGGCGTCCTGGCCAACTCTATAACGCTGGTGTAAACCCTGGTGCACCAGGAGCCCAGGATAGCAGCAAATAAAATCTGCTCATACGTCAGCAACTGATAAGACTTGTCAACTTTTCCGAAGTCTTCTTAAATTATAAAGCTCCAAAATACAGGCCAAAAGAGAGCAGGTCTGGGAAGAGTGAGCCATACAATGGGCACCATCAGTGAAAAGGCCCTGCTCTGTGTAGCTCCTGCCCTGTCATTTGATAGGGTGCCCACTTGCCCTCCTTCTTGACACTGAATGCTCTCTATTGGAGTCTCCAGGTACAATATAAAGACCATAAGAAGGGAGAGCAGGGACCTTGAAGTTCCCAACAGCTGTTGTCCTGGCCAGGCCTGCACCCAATATTGTTTTTGTACAATCTTGTTTGTTCTCAGTACCCAAAATTATATTATCTGGAGGCAAAAGGATACTCTGAAAAAGTGTTTATTTCACAAAGGAGCCTCACAGCATTGAGATATTGTCTTTGACACAGCAGTGCTACTGTTCCAAAACAAACAGTCTTGAAAAGGGAAAAGGTTTTCCCAGAAAAGGGCTGGATCTATATTGAACATCAGTAAAAGATGCTCTGCTGAAAGGGTTTCCCAATTGGGCTTCTTAAATTAATGTCACTAGCAGTCCACTACTGAGCAAGCTTACTCAGGAATAGGCCCTACTGAGTTCCATGGGATTTACCTACCTTTCTAGGCTCACAGTTGTAGAAGGCTATTCTTTGTCATACATTTTGGGGGATTCCAAAATTCCTTGACATACTAGGGCTGCCATCCCTCCAGATATTGCTGGTCTCCAACTCCCATCATCCCCAGCCAGCATGGCCAATGGTCAGGGATGATGGAAGCTGTAGTATAACAGCAGTTGAAGGGTGAGAGATTCCCCATACCTGTATAAGGACAATAGCTATATAAGATGAACCCAACACATCGCTGGAAGTTGAGTTTGTTTTAGGAAGCTCAGCCCATTGGTCTATCATGCTCAGTCTTGTCTACACTGATTAGCAGTGGCTTTCTGTGGTTTCAGAGAGGGGTCTTTCCCAGCACTACCAGGAAATGCCAGAGACTGAAACTGGGACCTTCTGAATGCAAATGGTACTCTTACCAATGAGCTAGGGCCCCATCCTTTTTGTTTTTACTGTTAATAGTGCCCATGCATGGGAGGAGGAGATTAAGCAGGACTATGGGGGTTAACTCTTTCTTTCCTTGCCACAGTCCCAATGAACAATTTTATTAGGGAGAAAGAGTCAATGAAGCAGCCAGACTTCAATACTTTATGTGCCAGGTAAAAACACTTTTTATTCACCCAGGCCTTTGGAGTTTAATTCTCTGAATATTTTTAGTGTGATGGATGGGTAGGGTTGGATTTGCTCTTTTATGCATATGATTGTGAGTATTACAGGTTGCTTTTATTCCTGTTATATATCCATTTTTAATCCTTGTTTTCGTATATCACTTTGAGTTCTTTAAAAAAACAATACAAGCAATTAATTAAGAACACCAACATTTGCTCCAGCTACTGCTGGTGAGGAGGATGCCAGTGATAGCTTCTGTCTGCCTTTAGGAGGGTGGTTTGTGGTGTTCCTCACTAGCAGGGCTTCACCAACAGTGGCAGAGCTCTCCCACTGGTGGAGTCTAGCAGAACTGGGTAAGGCTGGGTGGAAAGACACCTCCATTTCATGTAGATCCCCTTTAGGACAAAGATCAAGGGTTTGGATTTATCAGTTGCTCTCCGTACATCTACTAGAAAAAGCCAACAGTTGCCTTGAGCTAGTCATCTGCTGCTCTTGAGGGCCATTAATGGTTACCAGTTGCCAGGAAGCAGAGCAACCTGCCAGTTTGTTAGATGCAGTATGCGGCCAGTAGGGTCATATTTTCCTCTTTTCCTTTGCCTCTTCAGTCTGAGCATCTTATCTCTGTAAGAACATCTAAGGGGGCTTGTCCCAGAGCCTGCTTTATAGATTACACCTTGACAGCAGCTTCAGCTTACCCCCAAAATTAGTAATACATGTTATGTACATATCTTCTTCTTCTTCTTTCCAATCATGGTGATGGTAAGGATCACATTTCCTTTGGCAACGCATTGCCTATTATCCAAGTCCTGAATGGCTGGGGAGAGTGAAAGCAGGAAGCCCTTGGCTTGTAGTATAGACTCTTTAAGACTCCAGATGTTGCATCTCACCAGAGACAAGAGGCCCTTGCCTGGTGTAGCAATTGCAACATGCTGTGCTCAGTGGTGAATGATTTTAAATTGTATTTTAAAGGGATGTTGTGGGGATTAAATGAGAAGGAGAAGTATACCTGAAAGAGCATCTCCTGCCCCATCATTCTTCCCAGGCACTGAGGTCCAGCTCTGAGGGCCTTCTGGCAGTCCCCTCACTGTGAGAAGTGAGGTTTCAGGGAACCAGGCAGAGGGCCTTCTCGGTAGTGGCGCCTGCCCTGTGTCAAGGACCAGATGTCAAGGAAATAAAGACCTATCTGACTTTTAGAAGACATCTGAAGGCAGCCCTGTGTAGGGAAGTTTTTAATGTTTGTTGTTTTATCGTGTTTAATATTCTGTTGGGAGGCGCCCAGAGTGGCTGGGGAAACCTAGTCAGATGGGTGGGGTATAAATAAATTGTTGTTGTTGTTGTTGTTGTTAAGCATGTATGCCACCTTGAGTTCCTTGGAGATCAGGTGGGCTACTAACACAATGATTATTAATAATAAAAATAATAATAATGTTGAAGGCCCCTATAACTCATGACGTCTGTGACTAATGGCTGGACGCCACAGCTGAATCTGTCCATCTGTCATGGCCATCTGTCATGGATGCTTTAGCTGAGATTCCTGCACTGCCGGGGGTTAGGCTAGATGACCCTTGTGGTCCCTCCAAACTACGATTCTATGATTCTTATGAACGCGAATCAGAAGAGCGGGCAGCAGGCAGCAGGCAGATCTCCTCTCAGCGCCTTCCTAACCGTGTCTACTCAGAAGTAAGTCCTTTCGTATTCCACGGAGCTTCCTCCCTGCTAAATGGGGTTAGGATTGTTAAGCCGCAGTCCCGTCTTTCAAGCGAGGCCTGCAGACCGAAGGCAGCCGAGAGTCCTACTGAGCCGCTCGAGGAAGTGGCGGCGGCGGCGGCGGCTCCGCCTCCTGCGCAGCACCCGGCGGCTGTCAGTGCGCAGGCACGGGTCGCGCCGAGCTCGCCGGGTGTCCATAATACGTGGCGTCTGAGGCTGGAACGACGCACAGGCGAGAGATGGGAGCCGCGCGAGAGATCTGCGGCTAACCCAGCTGCATTTGCTCGCCCGGCAAGGAAGGTGGAGGAGAAGGCGGATCAGGTAACCCGGAGCTTTCTTAGTTGCAGACTGCTCGTTCGCTCCCGCCGCTTTCTCTGGTTTGTTTGTTTTTAACCCTGCGCGTTACTTTCAAATCAAAACACAGAAAAACCGAGCTTCTGGAGCAGATCTGGGTCCGCAAGGAAGGCAGGGAGCGAATAATCCGTTTTTGCAAAGTGTGCGTGTGCGTTTGAGCGGGTGCTCAATGCATGTTGCATACTCTGTCCTAGCAGTTTTACAGAAGGAGAGAGAAGGGCAGGAGCTCATCTCTGCGTTTAGGAGGAGCCATGTAGACACGGTGTTTGCAACTTGCGCGGCGAGTTTCCGTCCGGGGGAGAAAAAACCCTCACCCTTCGCTAGAAGGCTTTTTTGTTGTTTTTTAAACTTGCAGACTGCCCTTCCCCTCCCAAGGATTTGGTGATCTGGAGGAAGGTGTTGCGTTATGGTTGGGGCTCGAAGGATAAAAGAGTCCCGAAATGGTTAGAAATGAAGGGTGCGCAGGGGGCATTGGAGGAAAGTGGGGTAAAGTGTCCTCTCCCGTTGTTGTTTACTTGGCAGGTAGAAAGGGGAAGGTTCTTAAAAACGTTTAATTAAAAAAAAACACCATAAGAAACGAATGCACGAGTTTGCAGGCTGGAGAGTGCCTGGGACGCTGAAACTGTTGCTTGGCTCGTTTATTGACGTTCAGGACCTTGGAGAGCTCCCGCGCGGAAGCAGCGGGACAGCAGTGAAGGACACGAGCCGGCAAATGCCCCTGGCTGGCCTGGCCTAGAGGCAGCTTTTGATTTATCTTATGCCTTGTCTAAGAAATGTTCTCCAGCGACCTGATTGCACATTTTTAAACATTGTTTTAACTGATTTCCATATTTACTTTTTACATCGTGTGACCCTCCTTGAAACCTTAAGGTGCTATATACATAAAAAATATTAGTATTGGTATTAATTTGATTTCTAATTATTATTAAACCTAACACCGCATACTCCATTTCCTTCCTTCCTTCTTCATAGGCAATAGTTCATTGGCTCTCATGTTCCATGTATTTTAAGCCTGTAACATTGTATCCCCAGCTTCCCCCCCCCCATTTTTCAGTCCTGGTTCTGTGGGTCAGACCCCAAAGGAAACTGTAGCCTTCTATTATTAAAGTCTGCCAATCAAAGGTAAATCATTTTATTGTCAATGAAGCTGACTGACTTTTTCCTTATTCTGTGTGTCTCTCAAAACATGGCTTGCATTTATAATTTATTGGTAATCATCTTAGTCAAAGAAGTATTCAACAATGACCTGCCTACCCATTGGGGGGGACTTTTAAAGAGGATTGATGGGGCAGAGGCAGAGAAGAGGATATGAAATCCTATATAGCATTTCCCACCTCCCACAATGGTTTGTTGGGGTACTACTGTAAACAACAGGTTGTTGCATAAGCTGATGGCAAAATGTTTGTGGCAGGTGTTAAGATGCCTTCACACAAAGAGTTAAGCATGTGGATTCTAAAGACCTATGGCCCTCAGGCTAATTTCAGGTGGGCTTCCAGATGCTTCAGGCCCACAGTTGCTCTCTGGACCACCCCTCTGGGAATTGCTTGAGGAAATGGACAGAGCCAAAAAGATGGGGGGAGAATCCCTTTGCAAGTGATGTGCTCCAACATGTGTTAATGGCAAGGGGGGGATGGATAGATAGAGGGAGGAAAGGTTAAGAACCCACACACATAGCTATGTTAAGATCACTGTTTGGAGAGATGCATGTGGTTCCTCAAGTGTTTCAGGGGACCCAGATGTTCTTCCTTGAAGAAGTGTAGGACAACTTGTAGGACACTGCATTTTCCCAGTGTAAAACACAGCATGCTGAGGGAAATGTGATCAGCACTGTTAGCGCTTCCTCTGTGATAGTGACTGCTGTAGAGGACATGACAGCACAAATAAGCATGGGCATCAGAAGCGGTAGTCAGCCTTCAAGGCCTATCCAAATTCACCTTACTTTGTTAGATGTTGTTCTCTCCCTGTAACAGCAGAGTGCATAAGCACTCAAACTTGTGGAGACCTGCAACGTTACTGTCGCTGCTGAATCAGCAACAATAATTCCCTGCCATTTTTGAAACCATTTCCTGTGCTCTTAAGGCTGCCTCCTCCCCCTCTCCAGTGCAAAAAAGGACAGCCTGCCAATGCTTTCTTTAAAAAAGAAAAACTCAGAAAAATATTCCCTCTCACTTGCTCTACTTGTATATTATCTTTGAAGGTAGCATTCTATGGATTATCTGTTTCTTTTATTTTAAGAATAATTTTTTATTAACCGACCAATCACATCAAATCAAATTACATAAATTCCAAATTACACAGCCGAATTTTAAATTTTTGTTGGGGGTACCCATATTTCAAGTTCTGAAGGGGATCCAATCAACTTCTTGCTTCTTATTGCTGTTTTAATGTCCACAAATCTAACCTTATGATGTTCACAGTACAGTGGTGCCTCGCAAGACGAAAAGAATCCGTTCTGGGAGTCTCTTCGTCTAGCGGTTTTTTCGTCTTGCGAAGCAAGCCCATTGATGGGATTAGCGGATTAGCGCTATTAGCGCTATTAGCGGCTTTTAGCGGCTTTAGCGGCTTTTAGCAGCTTATCAGCTTATCTGATAAGCAGATAAGCGGCTTAGCGACTTAGAAAAAGAGGGTGAAAGGGGGGAAAAAACCCAGGAACTCGCAAGACATTTTCGTCTTGCGAAGCAAGCCCATAGCAGATTCGTTTTGCGAGGCACCTCCAAAACGGAAAACTCTTTCGTCTAGCGAGTTTTCCGTCTTGCGAGGCATTCGTCTTGCGGGGCACCACTGTACTATCCAGTCCTTTCTTCTTGTTTTTCCATATCTCTTGTTGTTATTTTCATATATTTTTCCTTTCTCTTTGTGACCTCTGATAGTCTCCACAAGCTGGTTAGACAGTTTGTAATCCTGCGTGGATATTTTTTTTTTTTATCCAGTAGCCATATCCAGACGTTTTCCATGTAACATCACTTCCATACATCAAAACAGTCTTAGCGTCATTAATCTTCACCAATCTGCCTCCTTTCTCAAAACCTCTGAGGAGGTTCACCAGGAATGCAGTCTGAAAACAAGTCCGTTCCTTCTCTCGGCTATAAATCCTTTGGCAAGATGGTGACTCCGAATTAATTGCTGCGCCATTCCAAAAGCTCTTATTGCTTCTCAATCTCCATAAAGCATACTTTTGGTTAAAGTTTATCTCCACACAGACCTTAATCATCCTGCTTGGGTCAGTTCAACTGACGATTCTAATGAGGAGGGGTTCTTGTAAATCACATAGAAGGAAAGTAAAAAAGGTTTCCCCCCCCCATTCAGTCCCGTTGTCAACATACCCAGCCTTTGGTGTATCTTCATCGTAAAATATTCCTGTTTCTCCAACCCGTCGTCTTCTTTCGCAGAGGTCACTTAAATTAGCAGACTTCACTCCCCTTCTCCACTTGAAATATGTGCATTTGCTTCTTTTGTAATTAATTATTCCAAATTGCTGCAGCTAGTGCGTGATCAGAGACAGCATCCAGGAGAGCCGAGGTCCACACGGGGGCATTCTGCCTAGGGCCCCCACCCCCTTCTTTCGAATTAGAGGGTGATTTATGGGCACAGCAGGCAAGGGCAGTGTTCCCCATTTCCTTGGGGCAACAAGGGAGGCTGCCTACTCCCATAACAGCCTCTTAATTACCCCATGTGGGTCGGAGAGATGGTATTGTCGGCCATCTTCCAATGCGCCCCCTAGTGGCCCCCCTATGGATTATCTGTTTCATCTGAGTGAAGGTCATTTGAACACCTAGCCATTTGATAAGGGTGAAGGGTGAATATGCCCTCGATTGTGGCATTAGGGTGACTGCTGTCCTCACAGAAGGCATGTGGGTTAACATAATTAAAGTCAATCTTACTTTTTAGCTTAAAAAATGAGAAAGTAACAAGTTATTGCCATTTTCACATTATCTGTAATGTTATCTGTAAGTATAACAACAAACAAGAACTAGTATTTTTCTCAAGGACTGCTTGTATAAAATAGATTTTTCTAGTTTTATTATAGCAACAACATATGGATGAATTGTAATCACTCTGTGTGAGATATATGACGCATGCAGACTTCTGAACAGTAAAGAGTTCTCACAAAAAGACTCATATTAAGTTCAAAAACAAGAAACTTTTAAACAGCTGACTGGCCCACAATTATCAATTCCCTCTTCTATTTTGTGGGAGTAAAAATTACTATAGCAGAATCTTCTGTTTAGAAAGTTGGTCTTTGTACACAGATGTGCTCATTCAAAATCTGCTAAATTTTATGTAATGGTGGGCACAGCAATACTATCCTTAGGAAGAAGGAGACCCTATGGTAGAGCAAGTGCCTCATCCATTGCCCTACTGGCTTACTAAGGCCAGGGTGAGAGGAAGGAGACAGGGTGTTTCGTTTTCCCTGCTGTTGACTTCAGTGGGAGTGTAATGCCTACCTTAGACCATGGGTTGGTGCAATTTTCGTCTAATTCTGTGGGTGTGTTGTGGTTAATGAGTGGGCTTTGGATCCTGCAGATTCAAGGGCACTCCTGACATGACCTCCTGGGAAACCATTTTTGTGGCCCCTTACTGACCCCAGAACACCAGTGGCAGGCAGCTGCACCAGCAGAACTTCTCGTGGACATACCGGGGAAGGTTCCAGCAGCATAGACCCTCCACACTTACAGTTTCCTAAAGCCCCCCAACCAGACCACATTTAGCTATAGGATTGCAGTCAATATTCTCTTTTGAGTTGCAGCTCAAGCCACAGTTCCTTTGCGTCTGCTTCTGTTCTGCTTGGGGAGGCGGGAATCATTTTATGAAATACTGAAATAAAGGATCTAAAAAGAGCTCTAATGTGTTCACGTTTCCCTGGACTAATTGAGACAAGCATCACTATTTTTCTTCTGTTATGTTACTGGTTCACATTATACTGGTACCTACTCTCAAGTTACTCATGAAAATATAATGGAATAGATTAAAGATTCATTCAGTACTTTTTGCAACCATGTTCTCAACATTTAATCTATCTATTCACAAATCTGATCACACCTGCAATGTGCTGCTGGAGTGTAATAAATGCTCAAAATCCACGCAAGGCAGCCTTTGCCATGGCAACAGAAGTTGCTAAGGGATTACCTACCAGGCAGCTGCATGTTCCAAAGATCTGATCGTACATTTTCTTTGTTTCTCGATGATCTCACTCATTAGCTATTCTGCTGTGAAAAGTTTCAGTGTCAGCTACAACTTGCCGGCTAAGTTAAATCTTATAACTAAAGGGCCAGTGTAACTTACCATCCTTAGACAATCTTAGAGATTTGTATTTTATCCAACAATCAATTAGATGCAAGCAAATAATACATCATATATCAACATTTATTTTGTAAAAATAGAAGTCTTCCAATGCCTTCTTTCTCCATCGTAAGTGTGGGTTATTTTTGCTCTGCTTCATCCTTTCAGCTAACATACTTTTGTGATGATAGTCTCTGCTGTTTTGTGCCCAGAGCATAAGAGAAACAAGTTTCATAAGTGATGCCATCCATGGGACTAGATGGTCTCTAAGATCCCACACAACTCGATTCTATGGGGAAGCTTGTATAGTTGACATTAAATTTCGGGGAGGGGGGCTTGCTGAAAACAGCCCTCCCCCACTTGGTGCCCTCCTGGTGTTGAACTGCAGCTCTCATAATCCCTGAACATTGGCCATGCTGGCTGGGGCAGATGAGAGTTGGAGTCTAACAACATCTGGAGGGCATCATGTTGGGGAAGGCTGACTTAAGGGATGAGAGAAACCATTCACAGGGATTTTGCTGGTAATTCTGTTTTCCCAGTCCCAGCCAAAGTGTTTTTGGAGAAAATCCTCTTGCAGTTCAAACTTCAGCCAGTCCCTTGGTCCATTGCTTGGTCCATTGCTTTGTCCATTCTACGTTGGCCTGGCCACAAACTGGAGCAGGCAGGTAGCATGTGCTGGAGTTGCAGTACCTCAGATAGCTCCAATTGGAGTTCACCACATCTGGAGTTCAACTGAAGCCTTCTGTCCTCCTTGGGACAGACTACACCTGCAAGGTTCAGCCCCACATTCCTGAAGAGCACCGAGTACTAGGGCAAAACTATATATCACAATAAATGCTTCACTGGCAATCAGGCATGTGGTTACAGTGGTTTTTAACAGTAAAGTCAGAGTGTGTGCACAATTCTTCTCAAGATCACAACACACAGGGAAGGAAGGTTTTACCGTTCTCTCCCCACCCATGAATCTGATTAAAAATGCTGTGGTTATTGACAGGTAAAGAAGGTTACCATTGGTGCCAGTGGGAGTCTTTTCCTTGTCATTAATTGTAGCGTGGGAGGTGATTTTCACTGGGATCACAGCTGGGGACAGAAGGCTTGCCTCTAACTTCCCTGTGTGCTGCAGTCCCGATTAATATTGAGATCCCGCACACCTGCTATTAAATAAACAAAAACTGCTAACGTGATTGCCGGTCGTGCACGTAGTATCACTTAAAGTGGTAGCTTTCTGGCCGGGAGCTCAGTTCTTTCTTGCCTGTCGTTCAGCACCTGCCTTGTGTGCTGCCTACCTTGGCAAGCAGTCACTTGTCAGCTGCAGTGCCTGATGTAAATGGTGCTAGTCTTTCAGTGGGTTCTGTCTCTAGAAATCCTGGTTTGGGAGTCTGGGGCTCAAGGGACTCAGTGTAAGGGCCTGGGCCTTGGCTCAACACCTGTGGGGCTTGCGTTCTTGATCAAGCTGCATGCTCCTCCTCCTCCTCCTCCGACTCTTGACTGCTGTGTAAAGTCAGGATGATGGCACTTTCTGTTTAATCATGCTGCGCATGTGCTTTTTCTTGTGGCTGCACTGCATCATGGAATTGTAGTGTTAAAGCCATAAACCCTTACAGCCTCCAGTTTGGTACGAGCAATATGTACACAGATGCAGGCTTTTGGGTGCATGACCTGGTGAACTAGGAAATGCACATGCAAAAAGATGTTGACACACATGGATTTCAGCAGTGGGTGCAGATCCCACAACTGGGGCAGCATGCATAGCTTCTGACATGCAGTTGAGGCTGGTTAGGCAGAGGCCAGTAATGGACACTGCTGCTGACCTAAAAACCAAGAGACTTTCCCACCATTTTTAGTGAGCAGCTATTGGAGGCAGTGAAGGCAAGGTATGGTTCACACAGCTGGCACAGTACTGCATGAGCCCTACTGCTCTCCACCTATTCATCCACAGCTGGTGAATGTGTAGGAGTGCCCCACATAGATATGGGCTGATGATGTCACCTGCCTGTGGTTGGTTCTGCTTGTCATTCACAAGCAGAGGGTGTGAGTCACCCCAAGGCTTGGCTGCCTCTAACAAATGCCCACCAGTGAGGATGTGGGCCACTGTTCAGCGGCGATTTTCATCAACTGCTTTCTGACTCATGGCTGCCACTTCAAGCATTAGACTGGGAATACATGCAATGCCAAACAGATGTGCGTTGCTGTTTTATTTGACAGCATCAGCATCTGTTTGGGAAGAGGGGGAACAGGAAATAGAATAAACTAACCAAAACAAAACAGAAAGGCAACAGGTAAAGGAAGGACAAGAGAACGGATGGAAGAAAAAAGGAGGGCAATGTGACCTTCTCAATTAATTAACTAATTGCAAGGATGTTCCAATTGGCCTTCAGATTGATGAGACACTGGTGGATATCTTTACAATCAGAAGACTTATACAGTGGTACCTCGGGTTACATACGCTTCAGGTTACATACGCGTCAGGTTACAGACTCCACTAACCCAGAAATATTACTTTGGGTTAAGAACTTTGCTTCAGGATTAGAACAGAAATCGTGCTCCAGCGGTGGAGCAACAGCAGGAGGCCCTATTAGCTAAAGTGGTGCTTCAGGTTAAGAACAGTTTCAGGTTAAGTACGGACCACTGGAAAGAATTAAGTCATTAACCCGAGGTACCACTGTAACTGGTGCAGCTGTGGTCGCATTCTGACTGGGTTGGTTTTTGTTACATTTCCTGTTAGCTGTCATTTACAATTACTATTGTAAATTAGAGCTATGAGCCAAAGAAGTGATGTGAGGATCATATTGAGCCATTAAGAGCTTCACCAGCTGTTTCTGCTGTGGTAGGCCCCATGGTTGAAGAGACAAACGTTGGTTTGGATAACATGTGCTTTATCTCTTCAGCAGGGAAGACTGCTGTGGCAGAAACCTCTAGCATAGCTGGCAAATTCTACTCACTACAACTCAACACTTCTTCGGATTGTAGCTAGAGTCAGTTAACACTGACAAAAGTGGCTTCATGTTGCCCGAATAATTATAGTGCATCATTGTTGTTGCTGTTTTCATCATCAGTTCTTATAGACTGAAACAAATTAAAAAGCCCAAGGAAAGAAAGACTTCACCTGGCTACTAGCCATGATGGGGGGCTACGTGAAGCATGGAGTCAGAGCCCTGTCTCCACAGTCAGAGGCAGTAATTCTTCTGAATAGCAGTTGCTGGAAACTGATGAGAGTTGGACTCCTTCAACATCTGGAAGCCACAGGTTCCCCACTCCTCTCTTTGATGTTTTCCCATGTTTGCACCTTCTAATGGGAATATCCACAGTGCATCTCCTCACAGTATTGGGCCACAAATGGTGTAACATTGCTACTCATGTCATCCTTTAAGTCAGGCATGGAGAAACTTTGGATCCTCCCAAGTGATGCTGAACTCCTATCATACCTTTCCATTGTGAACATGAAATTATCATGCTTAAAATAAAAAATGGCTGTTTGTCTCCCTGGTATACCAACTGCTACACTCTTTTGGGGTTTCAAGTTATTGGAATCCCTTGAGTGCCCATGACAAAGAAATAGCAATGTGTGTTTTACAGCAGGAAAACAAACTTTCATAAAGAATTGACATTCCTCAACCAGTAGGAGAAATACCACATAGCAGGCAGCCAACATAGTACGTAATGTACTTTAACCTGAAACCTTGAAAGAATTTAATCCGAGGGATTTGAGGATTGTTGTCATAGTGATGGAAATAGCAGCAGTCAGTCTGTGCTGAATTCTGTGACTTCTGTCTGATTTCTATATCATTTAAAAAGGAAGGTTGACACTCTTCTCCATCATAGGTAATGTATGCAGAGCTGCTGTTCTGCAGCTGGCTGCTAGAATGAATGACTTGACAGGAAAAGGACATGAAACCTTATCCACTATAAGAAATTAAATTTAGAAACAGGAGTTGTGGAGAAGAAATCTTGCTTTAGATCAAAGTGTCTCAATGAGTTTCATAAAAGGAAATCACACGCTATTTTTAGGATGCCAGGTAAATTTATTCAGTGCTGATCTTACTCACACTTTCCGATTCATATAATCCTACTAAATGCATCACAGGGAGAAAAGTCAAGCTCTGCAGCAGAAGCTTCTGGCTGGCACTCAGCCATTGCTAATGGTGTAGTATATTATAACAGCTGTATTGTGCTGCAACTCCAATAATTTCCGCAGTGTTGCTTCTGAGTTTTGCATGGATTAACGTAAGTAGCTTTTTTAAAAAACAGAATATTTTATTTTAGTTATTGGTAGGCAAGTTAGTTCAACCTTTTAAGGACTATTCAGTGCTGCTGATTATTGGCAACAGGTATGAGAAATTGTCTGTTAAGCAAATGCCTATTTCATAGGGCTGGTCATTCTCTTGGGGCATGAGTCCATGATCAAAGGCAGTAAGCTAGCCAATTCAAAATCTTTCTGGGCAGGGACTGTGAGCAGAGCCAGCGAGGGATGTCAAGCTCTTTACAAAGGTGAGAAATTATGAACATTGGTCTGAGTCAGACCAAAGCTTAGTAATGTCTCCTCTGCTCACTTCCCAAGACATTAGGCAGAGATCCTTCCCAGTCTTGCTATCCGATTAGCCAGAGACCTCCACAAATCAGGCACACTGCTTCAGAGCTGCAACCTTACCCTTTAAGAGTACATTCAAGAGACAGGGGGCTCTTGGTGTTATGTGTAGAAACAAAGAGGGGAATCAACTAGGGTGAGGACTTGCAGACTGAGGGTCAAACAGACATGATGTGGACCTTGGCAAAAGGCACTTAGCCATAAAAAAATATTCTTGAAAATACTGACGTGTTGGACCTAGAAGGTTTTAACAACGTATTTGGGTGGCATGCATATTTGTGGTATGATAAGATTAAAGCACATAAAGCATTTAAAAACCATATTGTCAGAAAAACACTGTTTAATGTCTGGATAAGATATAAGGACTTGCTTGAAAATAAAACCCCAAGGTGGCTGTCACCAATGGAAGCGAAGGCTCAGAAAAAGCTCAATATGGAGGCCAATTGGCCGAAATATTGGGAAATTTTGGAACAAGAGGGACAGATTAAAATTGCAAAGTTTTGAAAAACTAAAAATAGAGTGCGAGATTGGCTCCATTATTACCAAATAATGGAGGCGTACAATTTGGATAAAATAATTGGCTTCCAGGTGGAAAAATCAAAATTGGAAACAGAACTGTTAGATCCCCAAACTAAGAACTTGTCAAGAATGTATAACTTGCTGTTGAAATGGAATACTCAGGATGAAACGGTGAAATCAACTATGATTAAATGGGCGCAAGATGTAGGACATAATATTATGATGGCTGACTGGGAACAGTTATGGACCACGGGTATGAAGTTTACGGCTTGTAATGCCCTAAGAGAGAATATAATGAAAATGATCTGCAGGTGGTACATGACACCAGTCAAGCTTGCAAAAATATACCATTTGCCCGATAATAAATGTTGGAAATGTAAAGAGACTGAAGGCTCATTTTTTCACCTTTGGTGGACGTGCCCAAGGATTAAGACATTCTGGGAGATGATTTACAATGAAATGAAAAAGGTATTTAAATATACCTTTCTGAAGAAACCAGAGGCCTTTCTCCTGGGCATGGTCGGCCAATTGGTGCCAAAAAAAGGATAGAACTTTTTTTATGTATGCCACAACAACAGCAAGAATACTCATCGTGAAGTATTGGAAGACACAAGATCTACCCACCCGGGAAGAATGGCAGATGAAGGTGATGGACTACATGGAACTGGCGGAAATGACCGGTAGAATCCGAGACCAGGGAGAAGAGTTGGTGGAAGAAGATTGGAAGAAATTTAAAGTTTATTTACAGAAACATTGTAAAATTAAGGAATGTTAGAAGGATGTTGGAATGAAATAATGCGGTTTTAGCAGAAATGCTATAAAGGATTAAGAAAAAATAGATTGCTAAATGGTGAAGGAGGGAAAGTAAAGTTACATTATATTAAGATAAAATAGAGGACAAAAACTGGAAAAGATGGAAAGGATTTGCTGAAATAGCTAATGGAACTAGAATACAAAAAAAGGAGGTGTGAGGAGGTCAAGGAAATAAGCAAATGAAAGATAAGTTATGGGAAGATTCATTGTATTTTTTTTCTTTTCTTTTTTCTTTTTTTATTATTGTGATGTGATGTTTTGTTTTTCTTTAATATGCTGTGTCAGGGAACTGCCATCGGAAGGAAGGGAGGTGAAAGGACTCAGACAGGTTGGAAGAGACTCAGCAGCTGAAGAGGGAACCAGCAAGGGGAGAGAAGCTGAACTGAGGGAGGTGAAAGGGCTCAGACAGGTTGGAAGAGACTCAGCAGCTGAAGAGGAAACCAGCAGGGGGAGAGAAGCTGAACTGAGGGAAAGGGAGCTTGGGGGATGGCTCAGAGATACTTCCAGCGAAAACAGTGGTGAGGTTTCCGGACCTCCTGTAGGGACACCCACTCCTCGCCGGAAACTGTCACGCAGAGAGTCCAGAAGACGTGTTTCCGTTAAGGAGCTTTTATGTTGGAAGCGATTACGAAAGCAACCACTGTCGGAATCTTCTAGTGACTAGAGGAGCCATGTCAGAGGGGCTCAGTCACAGACAGAGGTTTGTGGACTTGAACAAACTCTGAGGGAATACGATTTTACGCACAAGCAGCTCATCTTCCCCTCACAGCATTCCGACAGACACTGAACGCAGCTTGTGCAGGAGAAGGCATAATGAGCAACCCAGCAGGAACCGGAGAAGCAGGGGCTGGAGCGGGTCCAAGCCTGGAAGAAAGGTACCGGGTGTTGGAGGTCCAGCTGGCGCTGCAGACGGCGAGGCTTGAGGAGAGGAGAGCTCAAGATGCAGACGAAAGGGAGAAAGCCACCCAGCTCGCCAGAAAGGTACCAGGATTGGTGCAGAAATTTGGGGGGGAGCCCAAAGACTATCATAGCTTCGGACAGAAATGCAATATGCCCTCAATCTGCAGTTTGATGATTTCCCTGATGAGGAATCACGAGTGGCTTTTGTGATTGGGCATCTTGAAAAGGGGGCGAGAGACTGGGTTAGACCCCTGATGGCAGCGCATAGTGACGTCCTAAAGGACACGATGAAGTTCTTTCGCGCCATGGATCTGATGTTTTCCAGCGATATTGAAAAGGGAGTGGTGCGCAGACAGTTAATGGCTTGCAAACAGGGAAGCCGATCTGTACGTGAGTACTGGACTGAGTTCACCATGCTGATACACAGATTGGGGTGGGACTTATCGGCGGAACCCATTCAAATGCTCTTTGAAGAAGGGCTTTCTTCGGCTGTGAAAGATGAACTTCTGGCGCCTGGCGGAGTCTATGGACCAGCTGACTAAATCAGCGCTGGCCATAGGAGCGCCAGGAGGCGTAGAGCATTGGAGAGGCGGAAGGGAAAGGGGAACGTTGGAAGGAGTTCCGCATTCGTGCATTCCAGAGCCAACTTCTCCCTGTGGCCAGAGCTGGAGTGAAATTTGGAAACAGGCGCGCGCGCAGTTTCAAAGCCCAGGAGGGGGGAAAAAGGAGTGGAAAGGCGCCCGGAGGTCGCATTCCCCTGCCAACAGCCAGGCACTTTCGGCCAGAGTCTGCCCTAGAGGAAGGAAATGGCAGTGACAGGGAGCTGTGGAGGGAAGAGATGGAAAAACACCGGAGCACCAGTGCCAACGCCTGGCTGCCATTGCCGGGCACAGCAGCCAGGCCAAAGAGCAGGAAAGTGCTCACGCTAGAACCTTCCTAAACCCACTTCCTAGTGATAGAAGTGACACTAGAGCTGCCAAACGGACACCTCTAAAGATAAAGGCGCTTGTTGGATCACCCAGGCAGCTCCTGCAATTTCATGAGCAAAGAGTTTGCAGCTGAACACCAGATACAGACGCTCCCTTTAAGCAAACCCTGCAGGTAACGCCACGACCACATGGCAGGGAGCTGTTGGGATGAGAAGTCAGCTTGCAGACCCGTCCTAATGATAAGGAAGGTGGCAAAGGCACAATCAACCAATAGCATTTAATGTGGCCACCTTGGAGGATTCTATTATATTGGGATGAGCTGGCTAGCGTTACACATGATCCGCTGGTGGGCTGGCAGATCAAAGAGTGGTTTCTTTTGGGTCAGCACATTGCTTAGAACTGCAAAGAGGGAAAGGTTTGCAGGGGTCGCCAATTCCTAGCAGGGACTGAAGTAACGGAGAACGGAAGGCACCACAATACGCAGATCTCCGCGACGCTTTCTGTGATGGTGAAGGGAAGGACCAACCACCACCGCACAGAGCCTTGGACTGTCAAATCACCTGCTCCTCAGCACAGCCCTCAGGGGTGCTGTAATACCATGTCAGACAGGAGAGACAGGAGCCAAGAGTATTCATTGACAAGAACCTGAAGAGGAGGGTTCATCAGGAGAGTCCAGGGGCTAAGAGCCCAGTGTTTTTGGACAAAAACACGAACAAGCCAGGAAGACCGGTGTGGGACTTCAGGGCCTTAAATGCTGTGTCAGAACCCGGGGCCTTCCCGATGCCCAGGGATTGACGACACATTTTGACAAGGTGCGGAAGGGAAAGATTTCACCAAGCTGGACGAAGGGGGCGACACCTGGATACGAATAAGGAAGGATGAATGGAAAACCACCATGTCACCCCTTAGGGGCATTGAATATTTTGCATGCCCTTCGTCTACAAGCAGGTCTCCGCAACATTTCAATCGCTATGAACCACGTCCTGGGGCCGTTGCTTACAAGAATTGTGTGGCCTCTTGCAGACGACGGCTGGTGTGGCCCTGGAGAAGGAGGAGCAGCATGTGAGAGAGACGTCAGAGAAGTGTTGGAGCAGGCTGCGGGGTTGGGCCAGGCTGTGGGTGAAACTGGAGAAGTGGTCAGTTTCATCACCAAGGAGGTGGAATTCTGGTATCGCCTGTCTGGATAAGGCTGGCCATAATCCCGGCAAGGTCCAGGCAGATTGGAATGGAAAACACCCAAAATAAGGAAGGATGTGGCAGAGTGTTTTGTGGATTTGGGAACTTCTATCAAGTTCATCCTAAACTTGCTTCACCTGACGGCTACGACATGACTGTCTCAGGTGCAAGAAGAATGCTTGGACGGAGGAGGCGGAGCAAGCATTTGAGGAACTAAAAAAGGGCCTTCGCCGGAACAACAGCCCTGCATGTGGATTTACAAACCGATGAGAGTGGAAACTGGACGCATCAGACAGAGCTGCTGGGGCGGTAAGCCCAGCCAGGAAGGAGAGGCCAGAGTGAGACCGCTTTTTTTTTCAAAGCTGAACAAACTGCAGAGGAACTATCGTATGACCGAGAACAACTAGCCATTCATGAGGCGTCTGAGATGGAGGCACCTAATTAAGGCAGAATATAGCAGGTGCAAGTGTGCACTGACCACTTGAACCTAGAGTATTGGAGGACGGCAGGAGTGCTCAACCAACGGTGCTGAGGTGGGCCCAGAATCTCTCCAAATCTAACTTTGAGATTTGTTACGCAAGAAAATCTAGAGAAACAATAGGGCGGACGCTCACGCAAACCTGAATATTTGGGAGGGGAGGAGCACCAAGAGAGACATGTCATTCCAGAGGACCGCTGGGTGTGTGGGGAGGCATTGGTGGGACAAAGAGAATCAGAAGAAACAGAGAATGATGAATACGCCCAGAATAAGCCTGTAGAGGTCTAGGATGAGGGAGAGGAATCAAGGCTCTGAGAAAGAAATGGAGCTTTTGTGGATACAAAGGCACTGTATATCCCTGGGAAGGAGACTTAAGGAGGCATCAAGCAGTTGGCATGACAGCCCCACGAAGGGCATTTTGGGCAACACAAAACCACATGTGGTTGGTCACCAGGAATTTTGTGGCCTAAGGCAGGAGGATGTACGTGAGTATGTGTGAGGGTGCGAGCAGTGCCAGCGAGCCAAAGGTGCCATGGCGCCAGCGGGCTATTAGAACTCTTACCTAACACCAGAACGACCTTGGGATAGTGTTTGATGACTTATGACTGGATCTGTCAAGTCCAAAGGGAAAACAGCCATCATGGTGGTAGACCCACTAACAAAGATGTGCCACTTTAGGCTTGCCCAAGATGCAGTCACGGCGAAGAGACAGCGGGTTATTTGTAGAACACATTTAGGTTGCACGGGGTGCCACTGGAGGGTGGTCTCAGACCGGTGAAAACAACTTACCTAGGTTCTGGAGGAAGCTCATGAGCTTACTGTGGAGGTCAACTTTTCGACGTCTCGGGCCCTGAAACCAACGGGCAGGCGGAAAGTGAAAACGGTGCCCTCCAGCAATACCTGAGGTGTTATGTCAATGACAGAGAGAATGACTGGGTAGGAAAGTTGGCGCTGGCGGAATTTGCCTACAACAATGCCGAGAATGTGTCCACAGGGATGAGCCCCTTCTTGGCTAATTATGGGTGTCATCCCAGGGCTTTCCCAGGTGGAGAAGGGGAGAGATGGAGCGTACCGGCAGCCGAGCATTTTGTAGAAGAAATGGAAGCAATCCACCGTCAGCTCCAACTCAACTTAGAAAGGGCGAAGGAAGAATACAAGAGGCAGGCAGACAAGAACCGAAGGGAAGGTGAAACCATAAGGGTTGGAGATAGGGTGTGGCTGTCAACCCGAGGGTTGCCGTTCAAAGGAGGTTGTAAGAAATTAAGACCCAGGAGGTTAGGTCCCTTTGAGGTCATTCAACAGGTCAACCCAGTGGCTTTCAGGCTCCGGTTACCCAACCACATGAAACTGCACCCAGTATTTCACAGGTCGTTACTGTCACCGTACGAGGGGACGAGAAGGGATGGCCACTCGGGGACCGGTCATAGAAGAAAGAGAATGCAGCAGTCATGTGGCAGAAATCCTTGATGCCAGGTGGAAGGGAATCAGGTGGAGTATTTGGTAGCGTGGGAAGGAGAACCGAGTCAGAAAACACGTGGGTAATGGCCGAAGATATCAATGACGAGGTATTGATAGAAACGTTCCATCAAAGGTTCCCGAGGAAACCTCAGCCTGTGGAGAGGTTCCGGAGGGAATACTTTGGGACCACTGAGGAGGAGGAGGAGTTGGAAGGATTCCCAGAATCGGAAGGGGAAGGGGAGACGGACTCGGAGGAGGAGGAGTGCTTCGAGACCAGGAACCGCAACAGGTGGAGAGAAGTGTTCGAGACATCGGAAGATGAAGGAAGTTCATTCCGGGGTTTTGCCTCCTCACCGCCCGTAGAGGAGGGGGCGAGAGGGGGTGAAGGGGGCCCTGGAGGGGAGGTGGATGTCAGGGAACTGCCATCGGAAGGAAGGGAGGTGAAAGGACTCAGACAGGTTGGAAGAGACTCAGCAGCTGAAGAGGGAACCAGCAAGGGAGAGAAGCTGAACTGAGGGAGGTGAAAGGGCTCAGACAGGTTGGAAGAGACTCAGCAGCTGAAGAGGAAACCAGCAGGGGAGAGAAGCTGAACTGAGGGAAAGGAGCTGGGGGATGGCTCAGAGATACTTCCAGCGAAAACAGTGGTGAGGTTTCCGGACCTCCTGTAGGGACACCCACTCCTCGCCGGAAACTGTCACGCAGAGAGTCCAGAAGACGTGTTTCCGTTAAGGAGCTTTTATGTTGGAAGCGATTACTGAAAGCAACCACTGTCGGAATCTTCTAGTGACTAGAGGAGCCATGTCAGAGGGGCTCAGTCACAGACAGAGGTTTGTGGACTTGAACAAACTCTGAGGGAATACGATTTTACGCACAAGCAGCTCATCTTCCCCTCACATGCTGTTTTTTAATTTTTTCTTTTTGTAACTCTTTAAAATTCAATAAATATTATTTTAAAAAAAATATTCTGTGCTCACTGTGTTACATTTAACTGCACTTAAATCATGCATTGGTTCATCCATGTATGGCAATAGTGTCATTGGTGTGTCTGTTCGGATTACTGATCACTAGTAGGCTAACTTCACCTGAAAGCTGGCCAATGCACTTGCATGCTTTGAATGCTTATGCAGGCAAGTGTTTACTCATGTTCTGCATCACATCCATGGTGAAAGAAAGGCAGGCTATAAATCCTGTCTTCATATTGCAGCTACTGTGGGAAGGGCAGTGTTACCACATGTCCGTTTTCGCATTCTGATTCACTATGGACTCGGTTAGATTTATTCATACCACTACAAACCTTTTTTTTAAAAAAAATGTTTTGATAGGTGCTATACTAAGTATCATGGCAACCTATCCCTGTTAAATAAAACCCTTTGTGGCTAGCCAAACTTCTTGGAGATTTACTTTTTTTCTGAGTTGTTGAAGGCAACAGCGATGGGTGGAAATATTAGGGTGGGGTATAAACAGATTGCCACTGGTCCTGCTTCCTGTCCAGTCCTCCCAGCATTGCACACTGGCTTTGCAAAGGACTTTGCTGTGCCAGCCCATCATCCAGGTTGTGTCTGGCCCCCAACACAATGCCACCTCTTGCTGAAGTGGGAAGATCCAGTACTGAACTTAGGGCCCACCTAATATTGAGTCAGATCATTGTTCTATCTAGCCCGGAATTGTTGCTTGACCCAAGAGTCTCCAGCAATAGCATTACCCACCTTTCCCACCTGAAATCCTTTCAACTGTAGCTCACAGCAACTGAACCTGATATTTTCTATTGGAGATCTATCACTGATCTGGGAATCTTCTTTGCGGGAGCAACTGTATATATGGCAGACCCATTACCAAACTTTTCTGGGGGGTTTTAACAGCACCCTTTCAGCCACCTGGCCATTCCTGCTTTCTCTTAATGCATTTCCATAGTATATGAGAGGACACCCCCTTATCCTTTGCGTCTCTGTGCAGCAATTGGTCAACCTAAACTAATCCCAGCCTTTTCTATGGTTGTGCTCTCCACTGTCAATGCATTCTGAGCATCTCCAAGGGGAGATGGATAGTTTTAACCCGAGGTGCTTGGTTTTGTACTGACGCTTTCATTGTGAAATGTTAAGGGGGAAACTACTATGATCAGGACCCCTGAAGGGTCTGATCGTACAATTGCCTGGAGGGTTTTCTTCATGGGATATCTTCCCTATCAAAATGTCACCTCTATTTTTACTTTGCTTTCCTGTGAGCTGTGCCATGCCTCTGTGGTACTCTATTGTCTGACCTTTTTCATTGCAGGGGAGAAGGATGAGTGCTTATGCTGACATCTGTGCATCCAAGCAGGCGCAGCAGGGTACCCCGGAAGGAGGTTACCAGCGCTATGGAGTTCGCTCTTACCTGCATCAGTTTTATGAGGACTGCACAGCATCCATTTGGGAGTATGATGATGATTTTCAGATCCAGAGATCACCAAGCAGGTGGAGCTCTGCATTCTGGAAGGTAACAGCTACCCAGTATTTCTCCTGCAGCAGGTCCGCATCAACTATGACCTGAAAAGCCAGGTGGAGCCTCATCAAACATGTATTGTGGCCTTCCAGATGCCAGATGTTTTTGCAGTTCCGGGCAGGCAGCAAACAAGGACATTTCCTGAGCCCCTGATTGACTGCATTTGGCCTAGTGGCAGAGCTGCATTGTAGTGTCAGTATATTGTAAGGAGGGAGAATCCTCTGGAGTGTTAAAATTGTGGAAACAAACAGACCATATTTTCACTGACCAAAAGCAGGTCCAGATTTTCAGAAGTAATTGATCCAAATTCAGCTTTTTATCTCTTCAGACCATTAAAATAACAATAATAATAATGAGTGTCATTTTTTAGAAAAAGGAAGGATGTGCATAGTTAACATATTACTATTAAAGGCAATCAAACCATTCCATCAGGTTCCATTCCCCCCCATATTACATAGCTACATTCCGAATGAGTTCAATTCAGAATCACAGAGCTGCAGTGCAGGAACCTTTTTGCCCAAGAAGGAGCTCGAACCCAGGACCTTGAGCTTAAGAGTTTCATGCTCTACTAAGACACCTTTTTCCAAGTTCATACACACATATGCGCCGCACCCCAAGAAACTTAATTTGAATTTATTGGCACTCTTCTATTTTAATTTTTAAAAGGTAAGATTATTCTGAGTGTGCCTTGTGCTCAAATACTGTTGATGTTACCAGAGCTTAGGTATCTGTCACTATGCACTGGGTTGCAGCCTTCATGCATAAATAAATCTTATATTATTAATCCATGTAACAAGTTATGGCATAGATTATTCCCCATTTTACAGAACTGAATACTCAACAGATCCACATTTGGGGGAATTTGACTATTGGTGCTCCAAATTCAAAAATTCACGTAAGCTCGCTTCACAGTAAGATGATGAAAATATTAGAAAGATTTATGGGCCTCAGCAAGTCTCCCCTATAATATCTGGGTAGGGGAAAAATAATGCCATGAGAACAAAGATGAGTGGGTCAAATGTCTGCCATTTTGAAGCTCCCCTATTTGGTAAATTCTGGGGTCGCAGGAGACTGGTGACTGCCTTTTCCCTTGCAATGTCCATTTCCTCTCCCAAAATTGTGTTTCAGATCCCATTTCTCAGGAGCCCACATATTTATAAGCCTACAGATTTATTTATGGACATGAACACTTCCTATTTCTGCCCACATCCCTGCTGAATTTCCATTGTCTGTGTATCCATTAACTGCTTACGGATGCAGTTAAGGTTGTGAAAATCATCTGTCGACTTGAATTCTACATGACAGAAGCCTCCAGGGGCTCACAATGGCACTGCACGTTTCATTGGTGTGATGGCAGATGTCAGTGACATGTCACGTAGATTTAATAGCTAAGACTGAAAACAATAAAGCAAAAAACTGCCATCGCGGCTTTGCTGATTTCTGAATCTTCTTTGTCTTCTAGGTCGGACTCATCTCAGGGACGGTGTTTATGCTGACAGGGATCATCGTTCTCGTCGTAGGTTTTCTTGTGCCACCCAAAATTGAAGCCCTGGGAGTAGAAGATTTTGTGGTGGTGGATACACGTGCAGTGCAGTTCAACAGAGCCCTTGACATATGCAAGTTGGCTGGAGCAATATTGTTCTGCATCGGAGGAACCACAATGGCGGCCTGCTTGCTGATGTCTGCGTTCGCTAAAAGCTACTCCAAAGAAGAAAGGTACCTGCAGCAGAAATTTAAAGAGAGAATTGCAGACATCAGAGCCCATGCACACCCTGTCACCAAAGCCCCGGCACCTGGAGAATCCAAGATACCCGTCACGTTGTCCAAAGTTCAAAATGTCCAGCCGTTATCTGAAACCTGATGTTTGTTTTCTCTTTCCAAACATACCCATCTTGTGAATTTGAAAAGGTCAGCTTTGGCCTGTGTATGAATCTGTGTTTCCCATGCAGTGTAACTGCACTCTGCAGCCAGTGGGGAAAGGAGCAGATTGGGAAGGAGGTGGAAATGGCTTGAAGGGGATGGTTCAGCCATCAGTGGCTTGAACAAAGCATTAATGTATGAGTTGTTCTCTTATTTTTAATAGTTGCATTGAATCCTTGCAAAGCACCATTTGATTGCCCTTCCCTTTAAATTTGTCACCCATTTCGTGCTGCTTCCAGTTAACTGACATGTTCATACCTGTTTTATTGTGGACGGCTTCAAGTTATGTTCTCTTGGCTCTATAGCCAAAGTCCAACAAAACGATATTCGTGCACGTTGGAGAGAACCATCATGCAGACAATGGGAGCAGCTTTCTCATTTCCACCACGTGTGCTTGTACTACTGGGAAAGAAAGTTGTCTTGCAAACCAAAAGGCAGCTTTTCTCTTCAGCAGCATGAGTTGCTGTGGTGGGAACATAATGGGAACCTGTCAATGCCCTCACCTGATCATTCGTTTGTTTTTAAATAGAAATGACAGATCATTAACGTGCTATTCCATATTTTCCCAGTCTTGTCATAGAAGAGTTATAATAAGCCCTTCTTTGTAAAGAAATCCATCCATTACTGTCATCTGAAGAGCAGCCTTTAGAGTCTACCAGTGAAATCCTATGCACGTTTACTAAGATGAAGGTTCCACTGAGTAGGACTTTTTTCCATGTAAGTGTCTACCAGATTGCAGTCACTAGAATTCCATGCATTCTTGTAGCAACCTGCATGGCAGAAGGTATGGTTCCCTAACCATCAGAGGATGCACTTCTCAGTATTATGATTGAAAAATATCCTGTTGTGAGCTGAGCCCCAAATTTAACGCCTTCTGTTTCTGGGAAGTGCAATTTTGAAAGTTGCCATTTAAAAGAAGAAAACTTTTGTGTGGAAGTGTATACCAAGTTAACCCACCTGCAGGTCTGGTCTCAAATTTTCAGTAGGAAAAGAAATGTAACTGAGGCTGTTTTTCCATACAGCGTGTGCATTTTGCATTGGTACGAGATAAGAACAGTAAAAGCCCAGTTCTGTGCTTCATGCACTGTGCACTGTGGTGTGTACACAGAGCTCCTGGGCACATAAAGAAGGACCTTTTACATCAATGGAGCAAATGTACACACACAAACGAATACATGTGTAGATCTGCTCCCTTTGTTGAAAAGGACATCAAAGCCCTATGCCTGCACCAAATTTCTGGACTAGAGAAGCCACGGGGCAAGTTCCTCCATGTTGTTGCCTAACTTCCATGAATTCCAATAGGATTTGTGCAGGAACATTTCCTGGTGAATCATGCATATTTTTTAAAGCTAAGAGATTCTTCATTCCTTAAATCCGATTGCCTGAAAGAAACTATTAAATGTGATGCTTCTATTTTTCTAGATAATAGAAAGAGCTTATCCTTAATCATAGTACAGTTGTGTTGACGCTTACCTACAGATTTGTCCTTTCCACTAAAGATATAAATCATCTTTGTCTCTGTCTGTCTGTCTCTCTATAAAATTCTCTTCCTTTTATTCTATGGATCTAAAACAAGACTATGTAAAGAGATGTGACCTTTATATTCTTTGACAATATGTGCCCACCTTATAGTTCTGTCTATTTTTTTCAATGGATTAAATAAAATTATGAAGAACTGGTGCTGTTGATGGAAAATGTTTCCTTTCAAATTATCAAGTGGGCATAAGGAGCTGGATGGCCCAGCACAGAGACGACCTCCCATCAGCCTTGGTCAGCATAGGCAATGGTCAGGGAGAGAGAACTCACAACATAGCACTGGCAGTGTAACCACATTCCTGGGACAAGGGTTCATGACCCTTTTGCCAACCAGTCAAACAGAGGGGCCAGGAAATGCAGCAAAGGCTGCCACTTTCCTTTAACCCTGCCATAGGGCTCAAGTTTAAAAAATGTTTTCATTTACATGTTGCATCTATGACAAAGTTATGTGAAGTAGTTGTTTGGGCAACAGATGATGTCAAGGGCCTTCAATGTTCCTACCTTCAGTGTAGGTATATATATCTAAAATCAGCTCCTGTCAGGAGTGGTGTGTTTCACCCTCTTTCTTTTGCAACAGATGCATGAAGACATCTGGGATTAGAAAGGTTTCTACATCAAATGGAAGCACATCTCTTCCCTCTCTAGTTAGATGTAGCCCCTGAGATCATTGGCAATACCATCCCACGATATCTCCAAGGACTTACTTCTCTCTTCTCTCAGCCTCTTAAGTCATTCAGCTGTTATACTCACCCTGCTATTATGTAATGCGTGAGGTCCAGTGGGTGGTAACACGAGAACAGGCCTTCTCTGTAGTGGCTCCCCATTTGTAGAATGCTCTCACCAAAGAGGTTTGCCTGGTGCCTTCATTATATATTTTTTAAGTATCAGGCTAAAGCGTTCCTCTTCAACCAGGCCTTTGGCTCTTATGATGAAGGGAGATATATAAATCAAATCAATAAACAAAATAATGCAAGGATGAGGAACCTGTGGCCTGCCAAATGTTGTCAAACTGCATCATTCATCATCTCTAACCTTGGCCATGGTTTCTGTGGCTGATGGGACATGAAGAGAGCCCAATAACACGTGGAGGTGCAAAGGTCCCCATACCTGGTTTAAAACATGAACTAGAAGTTCCCTGCTAAAATTCCAATTGTACCATGAATTCTATGGGAGGTCTTGCATTTGTCTCACAATATTAATTCCCCATTCGCATTAGGAGGCTAATTATGCTTGTCAATCCTTATAGGGTCGTTGCAAGAGTTACTGAAATAATATGAGTGAAGCGCTTAGAGAAAGCGTTCTATAAACTATTGCCATTCTTCTACAGTTACATGCGTTTATAGCCACAGTGTCAAATCTTAATGAAAGGACTTCGGTCTTGCTCTTTTCATGTCAGTAGAAACCTTGTTTACTGCAGTTTGCTTTCACTGCCATCAAGCTAGCAGTGTGTGGGCAGCAGCAAGGCAGAGCACAATGACCTTTTCCAATGTGATGTTTAATTAAAGATTGTGAGGAGCAGACTTGTGACATTTTGAGTATTACAGTGTGGCTTGCTGAAGGACATTTAAAATGATGGCTGCAATATCCACTAGTCTCCTTCCATCTTCCCCACTTCCCTTTTGATAACATCATTTCTGAAATCAGATTGAAAATCTAATTTACACCCCTTTCTAGAAAAATAAGGAAGGATGATAGATCTCAAAAATTATTGCTCAGAAAAAAGAGAGGCCCAGACGTTATCTTGCAGTGACCTTGTTCAGGATGAGAAACACTCTCAAGAATTGGAAACTTGCAGTCACTGGTTAATAGACATACTAATGCTGAGGCAATATCTCTCTGAAGAGCAGTTGCTAAAAATCACAGGTGAGGCGAGGGTCGTTGCACTTGTGTCCTTTTCATGGGCTCCCCATGGGCATCTGGTTTGCCCCTGTGAGAACAGGATGCAGGATTAAATGGGTCATTGGCTTGATCCAGCAGCCTCTTCTTATGTTCTCATGAGGCACGATCAGCTTTTGACATTCAGTGTGAAGTGTTTGACACTTGTGTGAAGGCCAGTAGCTGAGCTGCAGAGCAACTGGTTTGCATGCAGAATATCCCCGTTTCAATCCCTGGCACCTCCTGGAAAGGATTCCTGCCTCTAACCCTGGAGAGCTACTCCTGTAGGTAAGGTAAAGGCTAAAGGACCCCTGGACGGTTAAGTCCAGTCAAAGGCGACTATGGGGTTGCAGCATTCATCTCGTTTCAGGCTGAAAGAGCTGGCGTTTGTCCACAGACAGCTTTCCAGGTCAGGTGGCCAGCATGACTAAACCGCTACTGGTGCAACGGAACACCATGACTGAAGCCAGAGCGCACGGAAATGCCATTTACCTTCCCACTGGAGTGGTACCTATTTATCTACTTGCACTTTTTAGTGTGCTTTTGAACTGCTAGGTTAGCAGAAACTGAGAAAGAGCAAAGGGAGCTCACCCTGTCACGCAGATTCAAACCGCCAACCTTTCAATCAGCAAGCCCAAGAGGCTTAGTGGTTTAGACCACAGCACTACCGCGTCCCTAGTTACCTTTTTGTTACTCCCATGCAGTGTATTGAGTCCCCACAGCAGATGATACTGAGCTGGTTGGACCAATGGTCAGTAAAAGGTTGATTCCTGTGTTACACTGAAAGAACCCTGACTCTCTTTGGGAAACCTTGGGGACAGATGGGAAACAGAGGCAACTTTTGATCACTGGGGTTAACTGATTATGAAGAATGTCTTTAGTTTTTAATCTAAACTTCTTTTATTTTGTTTCAGAGGGATATTTTATATAGGTTTTAATCATATTGTTGCCTATCACATCAAAGCAGGGGAAGCATCTGGTCCTCATCTGACCCTTTGGCAAACATAATACAACTAAAATAGGGTTCATACTGTTTTACTTTAAGAGTGTCGCTTAACGCTCTAGAATTATTCCCACCTTTCTAATGTCCTGAGTGTTAAGTTGTGGGTAGACATAGCAGACGACGCAGCGATGAAGAAGTTTGGGGGTGAAGTAAATATGTTGAACCACAGAAGAGAAGGAAAATAGCCTTGAGAATGGATTGGGAAGTAAGGAAAGGCTGTTACCAAACACTGGTGTGGGAAATCTGATTTCTGTAATATATGTGCAGCATAAGCCATGATTTTCCAGTAATCGTCTTCATGACCTCTTCTCTGCTTCTGTGTAGATATTAAACAAGTGACACATTTTTTAAAAAAAGAAGAAGAAGCTACAATTCTCTCTGCTCTTCACTAAACATCAGCCTCTTATGCAAATTCAGAATGCTATCCTTCTTTGCTTCTGGATTAAAAACCCCAAAAGCCATTTTAACAGAAGAGTAATCACTCGTGCAATTTGTGCTGAGATCAAATTTGGCATAGCTTGATTGGC